CCCCAAAACCCCAAAACCCCAAAACCCCAAAACCCCTATGCTATGGACTAAAATTGAAGTTAAAATTGTTTTTAATACCTACTGAAGGGTACTGATTTCAGAAAAATCCAATATTTAAAAAATTAGTCATAAAATGAGCTATGATGGCTTCTTGAGGCCTCCGATGAAAGACATCTTGTTTTTGGGCTGAATCAATTTTTGTGCACTCTTCTTGTACACTGACTGGTTCAGCTTAGGCACTCCTGAACTCGACATGCTATAAGAAAGTTTACAATAAGGCTACTGGCTAGTCTTACTCTTCATCAAATCCTTGATATGTGCTCAGATTCCCCCGGGCTTTTAAACGAGAAGTTTGTGGTTGTCTTAGTTTATTTTTGGCTTGTTTGGGATCTACAGATTAGAGTTAATGCATTACTGGTCAATTGCAGATCGAAGCTACTCCTGACTGGGTTTGCAGTAGCATAATTTCAAGAGCTATCATCATCGCTGTCCATTAAATCTGATACTTTGGCATGCCCACGGTTCTTTTTGGGCGAAGTTTTTGGCTGTCTGAAATATTGTTAATACTCCAAAACATCATTTTCAAGAAATTTCAAAAATCTTACTTCAAAGTTGACTGAGGTCGAGTGAGGAAAGATTGGGTATTCTTCTGCTTGACCTTCTTCACGGATTTAGTTCCATTATAATCAACCAAAGTCTGGTTGACTTTGGTCTTAATTTTAGGCTTTGTATTACTCCCTACAAAGGAGCATGCTAAAGATTTGGCCTCTTTCTGTTGGCTTGGCTTCTTCATGCCAAATGCTTTCTTCAACTTATTCCCTATCGTATCTTTCGCCTTCTTCTGCTTTTTATTGATTATCTCTATCCGTGTATTGGGTTGATTTCGAGCAGTATTGTAGCCTTTCTTAGCCTCATCACTATCAAGCTCCAAGTTTGAGTTAGGAGTAAGTTCAGGGTCATTCTCCTTTAGCTCTTCTAGTTTGATAAAATTGTTCTCACTTTTCCTAGTAACTATGTCATCAGCCGGTTCTATGGTCTCTATATTTATGATCTTATCCCCTTTAGTAGGGATATTCGCCAAGGATCTTTTTGCAGTATGGCGACCCTTCAACTTCCTTTCCTTAAGAGGTGACTATAAGTTATAAGAGGGGAGTACCTTTTCTGACTTTTTACCATCATTTTTCTTAGTTTCTGACTTTTTCCCAAAGTTCTTCAAAGGTGCTTTAATACTACTGGTGTTATTCACCTTTGGCTTGATAGTCACAGGAGCTCCGTTATCTTGACTACTGGTGTTCTCAGATGAATTCTTTTGGAAAGTACCCCTACTCCCTCCTGAAAAGGTCATCCTTGATGGAGGAATGTCCTGTTTTCCCTCTTGACTCGGCTCAGTAATGACTTTAGATGCAGGTATGTTACCCTTCTGTTCGGGCGTATTCTGATCTTGCTTACTTTTCTTTTGCGTTGGAGCTTGAAGTCTCTTCTTGGGCTTCATAATGATCTTCCCTTTGGACTGACCAGAATTCATTTCCAGCTGTTTTATCTTGGCTTTAGACAACTTGAGCTCCTCTGAGCATTTTTGAATTTCTGCTTTGAGGTCTTTGTTTTCAATTTTAAGTTTTTCATTCTCAGATTTGATCTCTCATTTCTCTTTATCAGTAAGCTTTTTCTTAGTGTTGTATAGCATAGAATAGTTCTGATTCTGTTTGATAACTCTTTGCACCTGGTTCTGCCAGAACTTCTCCCCGTACTTTTCATCAAGCCTGGAGTGGGTATCATCGAAGGATTTTCTTAGACCTATAATTTGGGTGAGAATTCAGTCAGGATTAGGTATAAGTAGTTAGTATTCTTACTGTTATTTAGATCCTCCTCTTTGGAGCATATCATACTATTTCCTCGTGATCTCTGCAACATTGTGTACCCTCTGGTCCTCTCTTCATGAAAGTTAAAGGGATTGTGAGTGTTCAAGAAGGAAGACCTTGAATCACGTTCACTATCAATCTTGGTTTGAGCCTTTACCAACTTGTTGGAGAGCTTAGCTTTCTCCTCCTTTTCTTTCTTAAGAGCTGTGTGTAGGATCTTGATCTTCTCTTTTAAGACAAGTAAGAATTTTATTTCATTCTGGTTTTGGACCTTTTTGGTCTGTGGCTCTTTACCTTGTTCTGGAGAAGCTTCCTCCAGTTCTTTGATTCTAGCTATTAAATTCATTTGTTTTGTTTTAAACTTTTTGACTATTTCTTTCTGTTGTTCTTGGTACTTGCTTTTCTTCATGATAATTACTTCAGGATCATTTAATTTAGAGACAACGTTATTTCAGTAATTCTTGAGCATTTCTTTCATCCCTTTAAAAATAGGTGGTTCAGAAAGAAACTCTTTTGGTTGGCGCATCTTGTCGTCTTCTAAGTGAAGAGTGTTGAAGGGGGAGGATGTGAGCAAGTCAGAGCAGTCTAAATTTGAGCTTTCTACTTTTAAGCCATTAAAATCCTTCTCGCCTGGTGTATGAGCTGTATTTGAGAATAATCTTCTATGAGCCATGCCTGATAATGGTATTATATCAATAATTAATATACTTGGAGGGGTTTTGGGGTTTTGGGGTTTTGGGGTTTTGGGG